ATTATATTTTATATGAAAAGTCTTGCGGTTGCAACAATGTATCTATTTGTATCCATTTCGGATTCAGATGTTTTTATTCGGATACAATAGATTTTGTTGCAACCGCAAGAGCTTTTCATATAAAATATAATAGCGGGGATGGAATTCTTTTTTCTTCCTTTTGTTCTTCTTGCAGGTCACGGCTCATGCGCAAATTTTTTATTGGTAAAACGATTTTTCATCATTGCAGGAAAAAATTTTCGTTATCAAACGGCCGTGCATTTAATTACTGCTGTCCCTTCAGAGACCCCCGCTATTTTATATGAAAAGTCTTGCGGCTGCAACAATGTATCTATTTTGTATCCATTTGTATCTATTTCGGATACAGATGTTTTTATTCGGATACAAATGGATACATTGTTGCAAGCCGCAAGACTTTTTCATATAAAATATAATAGCGGACAGGAATTCTCCTTCTTCCCTTCTTCTTCTTCTTCCTCTTCTCCTTCTTCTTCTTCTGATTTTTTTCCAACTTCACCGATAAAAAAAATGTGCCACAACCCTGAAAAACGGCCGACCCAATTAACCCACTAACGGTGTGGAAATCAGCCGATTTTCGACCTGTCTATGGCCGGCATTAGTCTCGGTCCACACTACTGTGAACTGAAAGTCACGCAACTTACAACGCGACTTTGCCAGGCGACTTGAGTACTACTTTGATGCGACTTTCAGAGAATGCTGGGTAATCTTGCTGTCATGTTGGATCCAATCACATACGTCGATGAGGATCCGACTCGGAGACGACTTCCATTGAAGTCTATGGGCCCAAGTTGCTCAGGAACCTTTTCTACAGTCGCAGCGACTTCAGTCACGCTAATAAAGACGCCTCTCATTGGCTAACATGGGATTTCATGTGTCATGTGACGGGGGTCTCACACGGCCACATCGGCTCCACCTCACCGCCATCCACAGACCGCGTCCACTGAATATCGCATGCGTTCCTGAAACCGTCAATCCGCTGTACCGCTTTGCTGTATTTACCGCCAAACGCTTGTTAAGTATCGCATGGAAAGTCAATTCACAGAAGGAAATAAATATTTAAACGCCTGACGTAATTAACTCCTCCCCCTCCAGAGGATTCCGCCCTCCCCCTCCAAGGATTCCCCCCCCCTCCCCCTCCAGAGTATTCCCCCCTCCCCCTCCATAGGTTTTCCCCCCTTCCCCTCCAGAGGATTTCCCCCCTCCCTCTCCATAGGATTTCCCCCCTCCCTCTCCAGAGGATTACCCCCCTTCCCCTCCAGAGGATTGTCCCCCCCCCATAGAGGATTCCCCCCCCCCCCACTCCAAAGGATTCCCCTCCCTCCTGACCGGGCTATTTTTGCGATACATCGCTGCGTTACTTTAACTGACAATTGCGCGGTCATGCAACGCCGCACCCAAATGACATTTACGCCCTTTTTTCCCCACAAATGGAGCTTTCTTTCGGTGGTATTCGATCCCCTCTGCGGTTTTTTGTTTTTTTTTGCACTATAAACAAAAAAAGACAACAATTTTGTAAAAAAATAATATTTTTTTGTTTTTGCTATAAAATTTTCAAAAATCACATTTCGGCCAAAATATATTGTGCTCCGTGTCATCGCTAAAAAAAAAATCCCGATACGTGTAAATGAATTGGGTTACGTGAAAGTTCTAGCGCCTGCAAATGGCGGGATATGGACTGGGATTTTTAAAAAAAAAATTTCTATACTAGTAATCGGCGACTTATAGTGGGACTGCAGTGGGCATTCAGACACGGGGGGGGGGGGGGGGGACTGAACTGGTGTCACTGACATCCCCAGTGACACCAATACAGTGATCAGTGCTAATAAAAAGCCCTGATACTGTGCTAATGGCACTGGGCAGGAAGGGGTTAACATCTGGGGCCATCAAAGGGTTAACTGTGTGCTGTGTTACTGGGGAGACTTGCTGTGTGGAGATACAAAGCAGCATGTCCTTGCTGGGAGGAGAGACCCATGTTATCTACATGCAGACCTCTCCCCTGTCAGGTTTCCTTGATGATCGCCGAGTGCATCCGCGAATCACCAACTGGGACCCGGTGATTGACATCGGTAGCCGCCAATGGCAGCGCGGGTAGGCCGGAAATGCAAAATCACATATATATATATATAAATATAGATATATACTATGTGTGTGTTTATATATATATATTTATAGGTGTGTATGTATATATATATATAGGATTATATACAGTTTGCACAGTCCTGCCGCCCCGTAGCGGGAAAGCGGTTAACAAGCGGTCCAGGCGTGCGAAATTTAAGAAATGTAAAAATATAATCGGCAATTTTTTGGGTGTTTTTTGCCTTTTTTAATTATTCCTCTCAACACTAAAAGCATCAAAACCTCAACATGGAACTCTCGGGGGGGTGGGGGGGGGGGGGGGGGGGGGGGGGGGGGGGGGGGGGGGGGGGGGGGAGGGGTTGACTTACGTAAAGAATAACTGAAGAACATTTTTTTCTTACGTGTGGATGGAGCGGGGGGTTGACAAGACCCCCTGTCAGGGTTTATTGCTGCCTGTGTCCCCATCGGGGAGATTCCTCCATTATCATCCCAGATTTCAGGTTGCCACCAGAAAAGCAATAGAGGGGAAATCCTCCAATGGGGACACAGATGACAAAAAAGTATTTTGAAAAAAATCTGACAGGGGTTCTAACCCAGCCGCCCCCCTTACTCTATCCAACATGAAAAAAAAAAGTGTTGCCTAGAGTTCTCCTTTAAGGCAAATAGACGGTGCAATGTGCAGGTTGCTCCAGAGCTGAGTACATGAGGCAACGTAGAATACTCAAGGGAAAACAAAAACGCATTTTTTGCCCGCACATCATTGGACGATGGAAGTCAGCAGAGCCCCCCCCCCCCCCCCCCATTTACTAAGCTCTGGAGCAACTTCACCTGCAAAGTGCTGTCTATTTGCTGTTAGTAAATCCCCCCCCCCCCCCCCCCCCCCCCCCGATGTGTGCCTCGGTGTCCTCTCTGACTTCTTATCCTCCAGAGATGATTTTAGGTGGAGCTCCCGCCAAAAAAATTACTTTTTTTTTTTTTTTTTTGTGCATATCGATCATTTGCTGCAAGAACAATCCCAATCACTCCAAACACAATACAATGTCCGAGCCCCACCCAACCGCCCCGTCCATTGTTAGAATGTATATTGCCCCAAGTATTGGGCCCCGCCCTTTCCACACACATGACCTTTAATGGCCCCCAGTCTTAGTCCGTAGGGTTCAATATTGAGTTGCCCCGCCCTTTCCACGCCCTTTGGCCCCCCACGTCTGTAGGGTTCATATGACCTTTTACATGACCTTTAATGGCCCCCAGTCTTAGTCCATAGGGTTCAATATTGAGTTGGCCCCCGCCCTTCCACGTCATGACCTTTAATGGCCCCCCCCAGTCTTAGTCCGTAGGGTTCAATATTGAGTTGGCCCTGCCCTTTGGCACATGACCTTTAATGTCCCCCAGTCTTAGTCCGTAGGGTTCAATATTGAGTTGGCCCCGCCCTTTGCAGCTATAACAGCTTCAACTCTTCTGGGAAGGCCGTCCACAAGGTTTAGGAGGGTGTCTATGGGAAGGTTGGACCATTCTTCCAGAAGGCACATTTGTCAGGTCAGGCACTGATGTCGGGGGAGGAGGCCTGGCTCGCAGTCTCCGCTCTAATTCATCCCAAAGGTGTTCTATGGGGTTGAGGTCAGGACTCTGTGCAGGACAGTCAAGTTCCTCCACCCCAAACTGGCTCCTCCATGTCTTTATGGACCTTGCTTTGTGCACTGGTGCGCAGTCATGTTGGAGAGGGAAGGGGCCATCTCCAAACTCTTCCCACAAAGTCCAAAATGTTGCCTTAAGAGTTCCCTTCACTGGAACTAGGGGGCCAAGCCCACCTCCTGAAAAACAACCCCACACCATAATCCCCCCTCCACCAAACTTTACACTTGGCACAATGCAGTCAGGCAAGTACCGTTCTCCTGGCCACCACCAAACCCAGACACGTCCATCGGATTACCAGACAGAGAAGCGTGATTGGTCACTCCAGAGAACACGCCTCCACTGCTCTAGAGTCCAGTGGCGGCGTGCTTTACACCACGGCATCCGACGCTTTGCATTGCACTTGGTGATGGAAGGCTTGGATGCAGCTGCTCGGCCATGGAAACCCATTCCATGAAGCTCTCTACACACTGTTGTTGGGCTCATCTGAAGGCCACACCAAGTTTGGAGGTCTTTAGCTATTGACTCTGCAGACAGTTGGTGACTTCTGCGCACTGTGTGCTTCAGCATGCGCTGACCCCAGCCCTGTCATGTGACGTGGCCTACCACTTGGTGGCTGAGTGGCTGTTGTTCCCAGTGGCTTCCACTTTGTTATAATCCCACTAACAGTGGAGCGTGGAATATTTAGTAGCCAGGAAATGTCACGGATGGACTTATTGCCCAGGTGACCACCTATCACGGGACCACGCTTGGAGTCACTGAGCTCCTGAGAGCGACCCATTCTTTCACCAATGTTTGTAGAAGCCGTCTGCATGCCTAGGGGCTTGATTGTATACACCTGTGTCCATGGAGGGGACTGGAACACCTGAATCACATGATATGGAGGGGATTGGAACACCTGAATCACATGATATGGAGGGGATTGGAACACCTGAATCATATGATATAGAGATGATTGGAACACCTGAATCACATGATTTGGAGGGGATTGGAGCACCTGAATCACATGATATGGAGGGGTTTGGAACACCTGAATCACATGATTGGGAGGGGATTGGAACACCTGAATCACATGATATGAAGGGGATTGGAACACCTGAATCACATGATTGTGAGGGGATTGGAACACCTGAATCACATGATATGGAGGGGGATTGGAACACATGAATCACATGATTGGGAGGGGATTGGAACACCTGAATCACATTATTGGGAGGGGATTGGAACAAATGAATCATATTATTGGGAGGGGATTGGAACACCTGAATCACATGATATGGAGGGGATTGGAACACCTGAATCACATGATATGGAGGGGATTGGAACACCTGAATCACATGATATGGAGGGGATTGGAACACCTGAATCACATGATTTGGAGGGGATTGGAACACCTGAATCACATGATTAGGAGGGGATTGGAACACCTGAATCCCATGATTGGGAGGGGATTGGAACACCTGAATCACATGATTGGGAGGGGATTGGAACACCTGAATCACATGATATGGAGGGGATTGGAACACCTGAATCACATGATATGGAGGGGATTGGAACACCTGAATCACATCTCTTTCCTATGTAAGCAGTTTGTATGGCTCCAGTTGCCGGCTCTTGTCTTTGTCACATACGATGGATGGAGGACAGTTCAGATCCGGAGCTCCACCTTTGGTCTCCATGATGATTTCTAATGGTTTCCCGCTGTGATCTCTGATCTTTATAGCTATCTGTACAGAGCCTTGAAAAAGTCTTCATGTTACAATGTATTCCCCCCCTGAAATGTTACCCCATGTTGTCATGTTACAATGTATTCCCCCCCCCTGAAATGTCCCCCATGTTGTCATGTTACAATGTATTCCCCCTCCCCCCTGAAATGTCCCCCATGTTGTCATGTTACATTGGAGCCCATGATGACGTGCAGCCGGTGGGTGGCGCAGTGTGGCGTTGGGGTCGGTAGGGTCCAATCTCTGGGCCCCGGATCTCACTATGGCGGCACCCGGTGTGAACTGTTGATTATTGCTCTGGAAGGCGTCACGTTGTCCGGGGTGACGTCACGCGCACATGTAATCCGCTTATGGCAGTTTAGCTCGCTGTGCTGGCGGTTTATCGGGTCACGTCGATCGTTAAGCTTCTGGCACAGAAATCTGCGATATTCCCGCTAACACTATTAGGGGCCAAATACAGCCAATTACTGCGCTGCGTTCATCCAATCACATGATCTCTGGGTGCTGACAGGCGGACACCTACCAGGCGACCAATCAGCGCTGTTGTCAGGGGGCAATCAGAAAAAGGTGCTTTTTCAGGCTGTTCAAGAAATCCCCTCCCCCGCCTTCCTCCTTAGAGGAATATCTGTCTATGTATGATCAGTGATCAGACTGTACATTGTAACTTTGTAGCAGGAGGAGGAGGTGTTTCCTCAGTCCCCCCTCCCCCAGTGATCAGACTGTATATTGTAACTTTGTAGAAGGAGGAGGAGGCATTTCCTCAGTCTCCCCTCCCCCAGTGATCAGACTGCACATTGTAACTTTGTAGAAGGAGGAGGAGGCATTTCCTCAGTCTCCCCTCCCCCAGTGATCAGACTGTACATTGTAACTTTGTAGGAGGAGGAAGCATGTCCTCAGTATCCCCTCCCCCAGTGATCAGACTGTACATTGTAACTTTGTAGAAGGAGGAGGAGGCGTTTCCTCAGTCTCCCCTCCCCCAGTGATCAGACTGTACATTGTAACTTTGTAGAAGGAGGAGGAGGCGTTTCCTCAGTCTCTCCTCCCCCAGTGATCAGACTGTACATTGTAACTTTGTAGAAGGAGGAGGAGGCGTTTCCTCAGTCTCCCCTCCCCCAGTGATCAGACTGTACATTGTAACTTTGTAGAAGGAGGAGGAGACATTTCCCCAGTCCCCCCTCCCCCAGTGATCAGACTGTACATTGTAACTTTGTAGAAGGAGGAGGAGGCATTTCCTCATTATCCCCTCCCCCAGTGATCAGACTGTACACTGTAGCTTTGTAGCAGGACACTAAGTGAGAGTTTGCAGCAGGGGCTGATTTGTGTCAAACATTTGTGAACACAGCCAAGACCTGCACAGGCACCATGATGGTGTCATCTCTGAGCCGGCACCTCAGTCCAGGAAGTAGCCGCTGACTCTGGATGATGCCTGAACAAGGATGGTGCCGCCCTCTTGGACAGAAGACAGATGAAGGCGTTGTCAGGGGGAAGGGTCACACGGACACATAGCTCAGCAGATCTGATGACAGGTCCTCTCTAAGGACAGTTTGGTACATACGCTTCTGTATTGCACACAATTCCTCCAGACTTAGAGCCACATGTGCACCCCGAGCCACTGGCTGCCAGTTCTATGGAAGGACTATGGAAGTTTCTCCTTCCCATGGCGCCAATTCCCCACTTCCTGCCTTTCTCTGTACAAGTCGGGGGTGGGGACACCTCAAAACAAAGGCGCAGAGCCGCCGCCATCCGGAATGTTCCTCGCGCTGGTCATGTAAAGCGTCCAGCGAGGGCCAGGAAATGCCACCCCACCGGCTGCACCTCCATTGGATATGAATGATCAATATACAGGATTCACATAGAGGGTCAGGAGGGCCCTGGTCATAGGAGCTGACAATCTAATGGGGAGGGGCTGGGGATACAAAAGGTAATAACAGCAGGGGGGGGGGGGGATGGGTTCATGGAGAAAGTAGCCGGTCAGTTGTTAGGTGGGGGCAGGGTAGGTTTTTAGGGATCGTCTAAAAGTGGACAGAGTAGAGGATAGCCGGACAGATTGGGGTAGCGAGTTCCAGAGGATGGGAGAGGCTTGGGAGAAGTCCTGGAGGTGGAGGTGTGGGAGGGTATAGAGAGCAGGAGGGTATAGAGGGTTTTGGAGGAACAGGGAGGACAGTTTGGGTGATATTTGGGAATGAGGTTGGGGGTGCAGATTGGGGCAGAATTGTGGATGGCTGTGTGTGGTTTTAGGACTTTGAACTGCATTTGTTGTGTGAGTGGAATGAATGGAGGCCAGTGGAGGGATTGACAGAGAGGGATGGAGGTCACTGAATGGAGGCCAGTGGAGGGATTGATAGAGAGGGGTGGAGGACACTGAATGGAGGCCAGTGGAGGGATTGGCAGAGAGGGGTGGAGGACACTGAATGGAGGCCAGTGGAGGGATTGATAGAGAGGGGGGTGGAGGTGGAGGCACTGAAGGGGGTTGGAGGCCAGTGGAGGCCAGTGGAGGGATTGCAGAGAGGGGTGGAGGACACTGAATGGAGGCCAGTGGAGGGATTGATAGAGAGGGGTGGAGGACACTGAATGGAGGCCAGTGGAGGGATTGGCAGAGGGGGTGGAGGACACTGAATGGAGGCCAGTGGAGGGATTGATAGAGAGGGGTGGAGGACACTGAATGGAGGCCAGTGGAGGGATTGAGAGAGGGGGTGGAGGACACTGAATGGAGGCCAGAGGAGGGATTGGCAGAGGGGGTTGGAGGACACGGAATGGAGGCCAGTGGAGGGATTGGCAGAGGGGGGTGGAGGACACGGAATGGAGGCCAGTGGAGGGATTGGCAGAGGGGGGTGGAGGACACTGATTGGAGGCCAGTGGAGGGATTGGCAGAGGGGGGTGGAGGACACTGAGTGGAGGCCAGTGGAGGTGAGAGGGATTGGCAGTGGAGATTGGGGGGGTGGAGGACACTGAGTGGTTGGTAAGGCGGATTGGGGTAGATGGAGACTCTGTCACGGTACATTGAGGACTCTCTCAGGGTATTCTTTCAATGGTGATTGGGGTCTCTATTGGGGATTCTCTCGGACTTCATCTACAGTTGTGTTCAGAATAATATCCGTGTGATGATAAAAGTGAGTAAAGCTGAAAATCCTTCTAATCCTTTTATTTCCATCCACACAAATGCATTGGGAACACGACACATTCTATTCCAAATCACAACATGAAGAAAAATACATCCAATTTGTGTTGTTCCTCTAAAAAAAATGGAAGAAAAGTGAATATTAGACGGTTCAAAAAAAAATGGCCGTGTTTGTATTCTTCTTTACAAACTCCAACATTCACTATATAAACTGAGAAATGTTTGAAGATTTTGCTTTCCTTTGAATGACTTCATGAATATTTGGTTGTAGTCGCACTGTTTCTGAGAACTGCTGTACATCTGTGTTGCATGGAGTCCCCCAACTTCTGGCCCCTGTGATCAGGTATTCCAGCCCAGGATGATTGGACCACATTCCACAGTTCTTCTCTATTTCTTGGTTTGGCCTCAGAAACGGCATTTTTGATGTCACCCCACAAGTTTTCTATTGGATGAAGATCCGGGGATTGGGCTGACCACTCCATAACGTCCATCTTGTTGGTCTGGAACCAAGATGTTGCACGTTTACTGGTGTGTTTGGGGTCGTTGTCTTGTTGGAACCCCATTTCAAGGGCATTTCCTCTTCAGCATAAGGCAGCATGACCTCTTCAAGTATTCTGATGGATTCAAACTGATCCATGATCCCTGGTATGCGATAAATAGGCCCAACACCGTAGTATGAGAAACATCCCCATATCATGATGCTTGCACCACCATGCTTCACGGTCTTCACAGTGTACTGTGGCTTGAATTCAGTGTTTGGGGGTCGTCTGACAAACTGTCTCCGCCCACTAGACCCAAAAAGAACAATTTTACTTCCATCAGTCCACAAAATGTTGCGCCATTTCTCTTTCAGGCCGGTCAATGTGCTCTTTGGCAGATTGTAACCTCTTCAGCACACGTCTTTTTCCCAACAGTGGGACTTTGCGGGGACTTCTTGCAGATAGCTTGGCTTCACATCGGCGTCTTCTAATTGTAACAGTCCTCACAGGGAACGTCACACTTCTTTCATCTTCCTGGAGCTGATTGTTGGCTGAGTCCTCACAGGGAACGTCACACCTTCTTTGATCTGTCCTGGAGCTGATTGTTGGCTGAGTCCTCACAGGGAACGTCACACCTTCTTTCATCTTCCTGGAGCTGATTGTTGGCTGAGTCCGCCCCATTTTGGCTATTCTTCTATCCATTCCAATGGTAGTTTTTCGCTTTCTTCCGCGTCTTTCAGGTTTTGGTTGCCATTTTAAAGCATTTGCCATCATTTTAGCTGAGCAGTAACCGATCATTTTCTGCACTTCTTTATATGTTTTCCCCCTCCAATCAACTTTTTAATCAAGGTACGCTGTTCTTCTGAACAATGTCTGGAAACCACCTATTTTCCTCAGAATTTCAGAGAGAAATGCACTGTAACCAGCATGTCCAACATTTGCTGCCTTCCTTCCTTAAATAAGGGCAATCATTGCCACCTGTTTATCAAAGAATGAATGACGTCACTAATAGAACTCCACACGGCTATTATTGTGAACACACCCCTTTCAATGAGTGATTCAATGACACAGAATCAGCAGCATGCATGTCATGACTGTCGGGTCTGTTGGATTTCTATGACTCTACTACACCTGCTAGGAAATTATCTGCCATGTAGAAATATCATTTCCACCAAAAACAGTGATTGATCCGGTTAGTGATGTCTGACGGCTATTATTTTCAACACAACTGTAGGTCT